ATATATATATATATATATATATATATATAAAATAAACATATGATTAATGCAGATGACCATATATTTAATATTTAAATTTTATTATTAAGCTAATATTATCTTTTTATTTTTGTTTTAATTTGTTTCAATTATAATATATTATTTTTGTAGCAAAATTATTGGTTACGTAGATGAAATTGAATCCCCTCGTTTTGTTGGGAAATAAACAACAATATAAATTTTTTTAATTTTTAAACAATGATAATGATAAAAGAGTACAAATTGTCTGTTGGAATGATGACATTAATCATATTGAGAATGTCATATTAGGGAATCATGTAAGCAAACATACATATTTTTTTAATAAATTAACTTAATGATATTTAATAATGATAATATTAATAATAAATTTAATATATAATAATTTTAATATTCAATATATACTTATACAACACAAAAGTAAAATAAAATAATATATAGTTTGGTATTATGTAATATAATAATATAAAATATAATACAGGGTGTATATTATTTATATTACTATGTGTATATTATTTATTATATCACATAATAGCAATATATAATATTTCATATATTTATGTTAATTACTAAATATTGTCATTAAATATATTTTATGTACAATCACACATGGCAACTTTTTTTAAAATAAGTGGAATTTCTCAATAATTATATTCCCTAATAAATAAATAATTTAAAAATAATTATAAATAATTTAAAATAGATCATTTGGATGGCATCCAAATCAGTTCCTAAAATGGAATAATTTCAATAATGATTTTGTATGAATTACTTATTAAAAGTAATATTATAGTGAACAATTTAGAGAAATATGATTATGATGTTGTACGAGATGAACCGAAACCTCTTAAATTAGGTGATCCTTATGAAATATTCTTTGTTAAATGTGGCGTGATGTACACATGACAGAAGTCTCATTTGTTGTGATATTATCTAACTTTTTTTCACTTGGAATGTCTAGATAATTTGATTACACATTATGGTCAATAATGAAATACTACAATATTGCAAATAAATAATTCTTACATTCTTAGTAATTTAGATATAAATGCACAAATGATGGATTTATATGAAGATAAGAATAGGATTATTTTTGTATGTAAAAGTTATGTGAGTAAAATTCAGCTATTATAGATGATGTCATCAAATAAATAGGTAAATATGTTTTAATATCTAATTAAATATCTAATTTTTCTTTGGAAATTTTATTATAATATAATGAATATAATGAAATATAATGAATATAATGAAATATATTTAATATAATGAAGTTTCCAAAGCTAATAATAAGATAATATAATATGTACATATTGTATACTTGTAAGAACAGTTAATACTGTTACAAGTATTTTATATATGGAAAAAGGCGATAATGATCCACATACATATATGATATTTCATATACAATATAATTTTCACAAAAGATTTATTATATCAATTTATTATATCAATTTATTATATCAATTTATTATATACAAATGTGTCTATAAATTATATATTTCTTTAGGTATTTATTGGGCTTAGGTTAAGCAGGGTATCGATTGTGTAACTGAAATATAACTATATCGGGGTATTGATTATGTAACTAAAATGTAGTGAAAATGTGAAAAGTGAACAGTCCACATGATTCCGTAACTTTCATTGTGATGAAAATATGAGCTATTTCATGTGAATTTGCTTGATAAGAAATTTCTTGTTGAATGATAAAATTGAAGAGAGAAAGAAGCTGTTATATGAGCACTTGGCAGGGATAAATGCTTCGAATCTGCGTGAAGCATCAAATCAAATAAATAATGGCCAAAATCGTTTTATTATTTTTCGATGAAAATAAAAATGGAGAGCGGGGGGAAAGAGTCACGAGAATTACAAGAAGAAGATTGAGGGATGAATTTGATCTGTTTGCACTATTTGAAATTCAATTTCGTTCGCTATATAGGTGAGGTTATACATTAATGGAAGAAGTGCAACTGCTACAACTGTACTCTGTTAAGTAATTTTAATAGATTGTAGATTATCCAAAGAAACGTATCGAGAGTTAATTACAGAATTAACGCTCTTTATCTAGAAGGAGAAATACGGATATAATTTGTGAATTGCAGGTAAATATTTTTTTAATGTTTTACACTATTCCATTTTAAATAAATACACACCATAATACTTAATAGTGACATTACTAGTCAAATCTTTTTCTTAATTTAATAAATTTATTAATAAGATTAATCTACTAATATACAATTGTCTACAATCGTACTATTTTTAAGAAACTTCTTTACTGTTGTTCCTAAGTACTTGCTTTATTCAATTTTCTTGCATCAGAATCATATCACAGAAGAGGTTAATTAAAATTTTATGATGTGTCAACAAACAACAATTCACAAGTATCTTCACATCATTATAAAAATATAATATAAATGTCTTAAATCATACGATGAGAAATTAGGAATTGGATTCATTTCTCTCCTGAAAGAATTAAAAGAATCAAAAATAAGTAAATATATTTTTTTATTTGTGTATTTTATTATGATTATTTATAACAATAGTTTGTATATATTTGATATCAATTTTTTAAATTGTTGCTGAAAGATTTTTTGAGAGATCTGCTTTTTCTAATTGATGCTATTGATAGCATATATATTGCCATTTTTCTCCATCCAAAATGGAAAGAAAGCATTTATTTATAAATCGAAAAAATTATTTATTAAATATCTTAGTTGTCAGTATAGACTTTTTTATAGAGACTGCAAAATGCTATAAATTCATATCGTTACTATTGATTGATATAATTTCAGATTTGTGATTACAACAATGAAAATTATTTTTAATTATAAGTAGCGCATATGATGGAAGAAACACATAATTCGCACATATTTCGAAAGTTCCAGTTTTTTCTTATTTAATAGAGAAATATAGAGATGGTAAGAAGAACTGTTGTCTTCGAGGTATGTTTATTTATCAATATTAATAAAACAGATAAGAGATGAAGAATTTCTTTATTATTTATTTAATTTTGTACATTTTGTAAATATTTTAGGTGATTTTTTACATTCTCTTTCCAACCTTTCTTATTGACACCATTGTTACATCAACTGGAAGGAACTTCAGAGATGCAAGACATACAGAGTATCAATATTTAAGATTGGGTAGTTATAAAACATTTTTGATGTTCTGAAAGGCCGTTGGTGTTGCTTATAAAAAGAATGAGTACTGCATTATAGGTCAGATTTATTGTAATTCTTATT